CACTGTTGCTCTTAATATTAAATAAATGAATTATATATGTACATTTTGTGTTAATGCCTCACTGAAGGTCACTTGTTGGTCAACATGAGTTCATAATGAGTTGAAAACTTACAAGAGAGGTTTTGCTGATTGTATTTGAATGTAGTTGCTGCACGATTTACAGAAAAAAATATCTTATTTATTCAGACTTGTGCAAAACAAGCATCAAGTACTTTTCTAATTTAATCACAAATACGTTTTTCAATAATGTGAAGCTTTCATATATTTGTTCTTTTAAAAAAAAAATATATATATATCTTCAGAGAATCTCAAAACAGAAAAACGTGTTACCAAGTATCAAATCCATTTTTATTTGTCTTTAAAATCCTTTAAGCTGCACACCTTTTACTTGCTTGCAGTAATTAATGTTATGTTTTCAGACACAAAGGGGGGAGGAGCCAGCAAAAATCAGCCATTGCAAGAGAAGACAAAGATATGTGGCCTGGATAAAGAGAAATAGAAACTTCTGCGCAGCTCAATGTCGTTCAGTCGGCTCAGTCAGCCCAATGACAAAAGATTGTCTGCAGATTCATTTATAAGAAACATCAGGGCATCAATATTCCTCTACAGTCAGGCCTTAGCTGCCACTGTAAGAGCAAGAAACACTATTTATACGTTTATTTTCTGAGAAAAAAATATCTGTAAAGAGAAAATGATCTTTTTTACAGCTTTTTTCCTGCACTGATCTAAAGCTAGCTTACTGTATGTATGAACCATGGATGGTGTTTTCATGTCTGAGTAACACAACCATCATCACACACCTTAGTGTTGAACTATCCCTGATTAAAGGAAACAAATATCCTACTCTGGATCATTTTAGACAGTTTTTAACAATAAGCATGTTCTATGACTTCAGCATTTATGGTTTAAGCAATAAATCTGTATCGGCACATCATAAAGAACCAGAGTCCAAAACCTATATTGGAATTCAAAAACCACCCAACAGTCACTTTTAGGCATTTATTAGATATCTACAAAGTATGGTCTAAATAAGCCCAACATAAAATCTACAAATGCTTGAACATAGTATTTGGGTGATTGGAAAAAATTCCCACTGGCTGCCACGAACATGCTCAGATATGTGAACAGGCAGTGTGACAACTTGCATTTTCCCTCTATTTTTATTTTTCCTGAGCATATAAGTATTTTATGATCATACTTAAGTGAATGTTGGCTTCAAATTTTTCTGAATGCCCAAACGATTCTGCATTTTACCTGCATATTTCCTGCATGAAAGAGTACAGCTGCTGCAGATGTTGCAAACACGTGCTGATCAAATGTACCTTTTCTAAATCGGACACCTACTGTGTACACAGTAGGTTTCATTTTATATTTAACTATTGCTGTTTTGTCCCTGGCAGCTGACAAAAATCATCAGGGGGTGCAGCCCCAAATGCCCTAATCACACTGATGATAATGAATAAAACTCCAAATCTGCAAAAGTGTACTGAAGGAATAATCATGTGCTGAGGCAGCTGCCAAAGTGGGTACAAAACAAGCGAAAGTGGGTACAAAGAAGGTCAAAGTGGATAAAAAAAAATGAATGAAGGAGGGTACAAAAGGACGTGGTAGATGGCTTAATTTTGTAACCAAACGGTTTGGGTATGAATTGACCTGAAGTTGGCTTTTTACTCTTTCTGTGTGGAGACAACTCTTATTTTCTACCTTCCTCAACTTAATTTTTGGTTATGTTTGAAATAGTTTAAAATTATAAAAAAGAGTAAATTAAGTAATGACATCAGATTAAATACTAATCATTAAATTCAAATAATTAAACAGCTTTGACCTCTTTTGCACAATTGTTTGCTTTGTAAAAATGTTGATGATTAGACAAATATTCTCCCAGTCAGACAAGCTAACAGGCTTGAAGCTCAGTTTTATATCCACAATGTTCTTTAAAGAAAAATAATTCAACCTAAATACTAATTTACTTACTATCATTTGCTTTGTTTGACTTATTTTGCAATCAATCAAATTATTTTATTAGTTAAAATCTGTTCTTTTTTTTTAACCGCATTAACAATCATGCTGTTTTTATTTATTGAACATTTGAGTCTTTGCAACCAAAACTCTGCTAGCTGCAAGAGAACTTTTCATTTCCTTGACACAAACAAATAAACAAACAAACAAAAATATTTTTAAACAGTCATGCCTATTCAAAAAAAAATAAAAAATTAATAAAAACATTTTGAGTTAAGGTGAACATGCACGGTCATTGGTTTGCATTTCACAGTAAGAAGGTCATTGGTTCAAATCTCAACTCTTTGGGTCATTTTAAGGGAGTCTGCATGATCTTGCAGTCACTGCAGTTTTGTTTTATGTAGTCTAAAACCATGCATGTGAGGTTAATTGGTCATTCTACACTGGCTCTAAAAGTGGGTGTGTGCACGACTTTTCATCTCAAGGTAGTTTGGGTGATGTGTTCACTGTCTCCTGCCTGGTGACTGCAGGGAAAGTCTCCAGGATGGAATAAAGAGGGTTCAGAAAGTAAAATAAATAAATAAATGAAATAATAATAATAAGTTGGATTTAATTTGATTATAAAAAAAACAGTATTTTACAGTCTGAACAGGTTGGTAGATTAATAGGCTCCTTAAGTGACTTGAGAGATGTGTTTGTTTACTTTAATACACTGACACATGAGGTGGTCAGCAGTTAAATTATCTTGTTGTGGATGTGTGGCTGAGCGGAGTTTGTTACAATGAAATGTGTCTGAGGATCAATACTCATATTTTGAATTAAAATAAGAAAACTCATCTCTAGTAGGCTAAACGCACCTTCATTCATGTCACACGAATGCTTATTGGTCATCAGAATCCTGGCCATAAACCAGCATGGCACTATACAGTGGAGACTTTTTGTCTAAATTCAACAGATTTGTCCAAACAACATTTACATTCTGGGCACCCATTGCAATGGCTGCATTCTTCAGAAACTCTAGTTTTGTATTTATTAAAGAAAACATAAAGTCATCACCTTTAGTATATTTGTCGTCATTTCATGTTATGTGTTTCACTGAAGAGAAAACTAAAAACCTTAGTATTGATGTCACTTGATGAGCAGTTTGTTTCCCTGTTGCAGCAACGATGGCTTTTTCCATAATGAACAAATGGGAAAACATTAAAAACATAAAACATTCCTGTGAAAGCTTGTACGTGCTTTTTCCTGATGTGTATTTATGACAGATGTAATGTTTGATGTGTTTTTGAATGGTGATAGTGTACTTTAGATAAATTAGAGAGGTTTTAGTTTTAGCTTTATCTGATTTGACAGATGATTACATGTGTGATCCAACGTTGTTTGATACAATAAAATGTTTAAGTTGGTGATGAACTCGTTTTCTCTCTTGTTTATGAACGCTTTACTCAGGCTGACAGGTTATGTTACATTGAGTGATGGTGTGAAGTCACTTTGAGTGTCCAAAGCAAAGAAAAACTGATCTGATGTTCTATTAAAATGTCAAGAAATGAGATGAACGTTGAGCTAAACTTAACACTGCACCAATGTCATGAGTTTAGCTGAGGCAAAGTTTGACTTTTACCCTAAAATAGGCTCTGCATCAATAATTCAATGCACTCAGAGCAGAGAGCTTAAAAACACATACATTTTTTATAAACGAGGCAAGATTTGACAAATACATTCTGCAGCATCCTAACCTACATGTGACACTTACTGGTAGCTCCAGTTGATTTTTTTAATGGAGTCTGTGTGAAACTAGTTACTTCTGCTGCTAAATGTCCACACCTTGTCTTCAGACGGATGTGTTGAAAGATCCCTTCCCAATTGGGCAGCACAATGACTCAGTATTGAGCACTGTTGTCTCACAGCAAGAAGGTCCTGGGTTCAATCCCCATTTGGGCCTGGGGTCTTTCTGTGTGGAGTTTGCATGTTCTTTTTGTGCTTTCCGGGTTTTCTCTGGGTATTCCGGTTTCCTCCCATAGACCAAAAACATGCATGTTAGGCTGCCTTCAGGCCCAGGCCTCCCTTGCAAAAGAGATCTGTGATCTCAATGGGATTTGCCTGGTTAAATAAAGCTATTCTTAAGTAAAATTTGTGTTTTAATCTTTGACATTCAGCTTTGTTCAGGGAGAATGACCATGTTTAGAAATATATAACAATCATGTTGCATTTTTAGCACATGAAAACATATTACCATCTATCCATTATCTTTTACCCGCTTCTTGCATTTTGGGTTGGGGGAGTTGCCAGTGCCCATGTCCAGCAATCACAGAGAGAACATGCAAACTCCACCCAGAAAGGCCCCCCGGATCGGGATTTGAACCGGCAACCTTCTCGCTGAGGGGCAGCAGCTACCATTTGCACCACCATGCTGCCAAAACATATTACCATTAAACTTAAATCATACACTTTTCAGTTAAAAGAAACAAAGTTGTGTCTGTTAGTTCATTCAAAAGTAGAAAACATAGATTATTTTTTTATTTCTTAAAGCATGAAATTTGCTCAAATAAACGAAAATCAGCAGCACAATGGCTCGGTTGATAGAGCTGCCGTCTTTCAGCAAGAAGATCACCGAATCAAATCCCAGCTGGGGGCCTTTCTGCGTTTAGTTTGCATGTTCTCTCCGTGCATGTGTGGGTTTTCGCCGGGTACTCCGGTTTCCTCCCACAGACCAAAAACATGCATGTTAGACTGATTGGTAACTTTAAATTGTCCCTAGGTGTGAGTGAGAGAGTGAATGCTTGTTTTGTTTGTCTCTATTTGTCCCTGTGATGGACTTACGACCCGTCCAGGGTGTACCCCGCCCCTCGCACAGTGATTGCTGGACATGGGCACCGGCGACCCCCATGATTCAAAATGGAAGAAGCGGGTAAAAAATAATGGATGGATGGATGGACACAATATTGTCTCAATTATGCTTTTTTAATACGTCTTGTGAAAAGATTGAAACTGATGCTAAAATTAGTATTTTAAATATAAATTGTCTTTCACAAAGTTACTTCTTTGTCCTTAAAACTGGCCATTGGAGGTGCTCCATGACTATTTTCCTTTACTTGAAAGTGGATCAAAGTGTTAAGTGACATCTATGTAATTGCATTTTACTTGAAGCAAATCTTTTCACAAAGACCAATACCATTTAGCCCCACGTCATGACTTAAAATGAACCACAACAACCCAAACAATGCATGTTTTTTAAGTTTAATGTAGGGTTAAATATCTGTGTGTAGACCAGATTCTAATTAGACAAACATTCCTTTAATTGTGTTTCCATGGCAACATAAATTAATACCACTATACTATACAACATGACCAGCATGTACACTTTCTATTTAAATTACTGTTACTATGTTTAAAATAAGACATGAGGACATTTTACTGTCATTGCACAGCATCTTACCTTTGGAAGATGACTCTGACCTTTAGTTCCACCTCAATTTTTTCTCCACTATCCCTTTCTTACAAAATGTGAATTATTTTTACCCTCAGCTGAACTTTGTGAATATTCAACAAAACAAGACTATATCAAAAAAGTCCCATCTACAGGCTTTTATCTGCTGTGGAGTCTTGAAGGGATTTCTCTGACAACTCTTCTTTACTGGATCTTTGTTCTTTTGTAACACTGGGGTCAGAAAATCCTGGAGAAGGAAGAAGATTGTGAAAGTCACTGGAGAATTTGATAAGATCACAGAAAAACAATATCTAGTAATCCCAGAAGAAGATCACGCTGAAATGAATTTATACAGCAGATCAAATCAGTGAGATGGACGTTCATAGGCAAACTGGCTCCCAATCACTCATGTTTTACTGGAGTTTGTTAAACTATTAATTATACAAAACTATGAATTTTTGCATAATTTGCAGAAATACATTACAATTCCTTAAATTTAAAATACCTAAAATTGCATCATTACACTTTTATAAAGTGGATTCACAACATAGACAAATATAAACCAAACCGCACCATTTGATCCAGTTTCTTTCCATTTGAGCTTGTTGTCTTCAGTGTGTCGTGTCCAAGTGGAGCGGAAGCTCACCAGTTCGGCTGTGATGTGTGCCAGACTCCACTGCAGACCTCTGGAGCTCTCCTTCCAAAGATTACTGTGAACAAATAACAGTCCCATCTGTTTGTTCCCCTCAAACTGAGCCTCAAAGATATTGACCTTTCTTTGCGGTGCCTTTAATAAAAAACTGATTAAATTTTCAACTTTTATACCAAATGTCTGCAAACAGGTATAGCAAGATTCATAAGGTATGGTTATATTATTTTATACATAATAACAAAACTCTCAACAGAAACAATAATGGTATAAATAATGTATACAATTCCAGCATTACTAGAAATGCTGCAATAACTGTTCAAAAAAGACATAAGCCCTCTAGTTTCAAAGGCTCAAAATTCATTTTAAAGTGTTTTACTTTTATATACCTGTGTCTGTTGCAGGGGTCTGGGGGACCTGGATTCTCTTCCACCAAAGGAATAACAATTTTTTCTGCCATGTCCGTCAACAGAGAGAATGTGGGATACACGATGAAGTCTATGAAACCTGCAAGATCAAGCATCACTGTGTCATTGTGAGAGCTGTCAAATGTTAATACAAAGCAGATGATACATTAATAACTGTAAAAAAGTTATTATAAATCTGACAGTCTTGTTGATTTAGAAAGAAAGAGAGAGATAACTCCTGCTTCAACGAATACTTTAGAAGATGGAAAAAACAATAAGTGAAATAAAAAGAACTTGTGTTTTGAAACATACCAATCTGGGATTCAGCTACTAGGGTGCTTTTTCGATCGCACAGCGGAGAGAAGGGAAGGCCGAGCTCTGCCTCTCTATCGCCCTCACAAAGATAGAAAGACAAAGAACAAAAAATACAATGGCATCCCACACAACTTCTGAAAATAACTTAACTCTCAAACGTGCAGCTATTTTAGAGGGAAATTTCCACATCTTGTTTTCACAGAAACTGTCCAACATTTCTTTGGTTTAAGTGAACTCAGAGATAATCGGAGTGGGAAAAGCATGATTTTATATTTACTGGTGCATCTAAAGACATTAAAACGTCATGCAAAAATTATATTTTTGTCAAACATTTCAGAAAGCTATATTTCTTGTACTCTGGATTAGTTCTTCGTGTTGAAATGTTTCGTCTTTCATCCAAAAGACTTCGATGGATTTCTGCCTCAGAGGAGTCGACGGTGGAGAGGGTGGACTCCAGAAACCATCTTATCACCATCACGCTGGTTGGTCCACTATGCGAGTATGCTACTTATAGGACTGAGTTTGTTGTGGCTCCTTGGACTGAAGAAGTCTTTTGGATGAAAGACAAAACATTTCAACTGAAAGAAATTGTCCAGAGGACATGACTTAACTTTGTTAGATTGTTTTGGTACCACTTTACAATAAGGCTTCCCTTATAGATGCTAATAAATAGTTTATAGATACATTATTAATTCCTCTATAAACACTTTATAAATCATTAATAACTGCTTATTATGCATTAATTAAGGACGACAGAGAGACAAAACCGACCAGTTTCTTGCCAAATAGTGAGTCAAATCTGTTCACCTATATATTTCATCTAGAGTTGTTATATTAAACATTTGAGACTAAGCTACTACCTTGTAAGCACAATAAGCTTTTATAAACCTATTTCTTTAGTAAATAATATTGTACTTCATCACTGCATTATAAGTATCTACAACTTATAGCCTAAAAAATTGGATTTAGGTCATCAATATCACAAGAAATAAAGCTTGAAGTTTTTCACTCTAATGAATCTCTATGAATTTCACATTCTGAAATGTTTGACAGAAAAAAGTCCCAACTTTTTCACGGTATTTTAATTTTTTGAGAAGCTCCTCTCAGTCCAGTTGGCATCACTAGCTAATTTTTGGCCTTTTCATAATTTCCCGACAAAAAACAAAAAAAATATTTAGTCTGTATTTTTTACAACACCAGGCTTTTGCAGAGTTATGCTTTATGTATTATGTTTTTATTACATATTTATTTATATTATTAGTTTCCAAATCTGACTTTATTTGATCAAAGTTCATTTTTTTCATCCATCCATCCATCCATCCATTTTCTTCCGCTTATCCGGGGTCGGGTCGCGGGGGTAGCAGCCTAAGTAGGGAGGCCCAGACTTCCCTCTCCCCAGCCACTTGGGCCAGCTCTTCCGGGGGAATCCCGAGGCGTTCCCAGGCCAGCCGAGAAACATAGTCCCTCCAGCGTGTCCTGGGTCTTCCTCTGGGCCTCCTTCCGGTGGGACGTGTCCGGAACACCTCACCAGGGAGGCGTCCAGAAGGCATCCTAAACAGATGCCCAAGCCACCTCAACTGGCTCCTCTCAACATGGAGAAGCAGCGGCTCTACTCTGAGTCCCTCCCGGATGATCGAGCTTCTCACCCTGTCTCTAAGGGAGAGCCCAGACACCCTGCGGAGAAAACTCATTTTGGCCGCTTGTATCCGAGATCTCATTCTTTCAGTCACAACCCAAAGCTCGTGACCATAGATGAGGGTGGGAACGTAGATCGATCGGTAAATTGAGAGCTTCGCCTTTTGACTCAGCTCTCTCTTCACCACGACAGACCTGTACAGCGCCCGCTTCACTGCAGACGCTGCACCTATCCGCCTATCGATCTCATGCTCCATTTTTCCCTCATTCGTGAACAAGACCCCAAGATACTTGAACTCCTCCACTTGGGGTAGGACCTCCTCCCTGACCCGGAGAGGGCACTCTACCCTTTTCCGGCTCAAGACCATGGCCTCGGATTTGGAGGGACTGATCTTCATCCCGGCCGCATCGCATTCGGCTGCGAACCGCTCCAGCGAAAGCTGTAGATCACGATCTGATGAAGCCAATAAGACCACATCATCTGCAAAAAGCAGAGACGCAATCCTAAGGCCACCAAAACGGATCCCCTCAACACCTTGGCTGCGCCTAGAAATTCTGTCCATAAAAGTTATGAACAGAATCGGTGACAAAGGGCAACCTTGGCGGAGTCCAACTCTCACCGGGAACAAGCCCGACTTACTGCCGGCAATGCGGACTAGGCTCTGACACCGGTCATACAGGGACCTAACAGCCCGTATCAAAGGGCCCAGTACCCCATACTCCCAGAGTACCCCCACAGGGCCCCCCGAGGGACGCGGTCGAACGCCTTCTCCAAGTCCACAAAGCACATGTAGACTGGTTGGGCAAACTCCCACGCACCCTCCAGGACCCTGCTGAGAGTGTAGAGCTGGTCCAGTGTTCCACGGCCAGGACGAAAACTGCACTGTTCCTCCTGAATCCGAGGTTCGACTATCCGACGGACCCTCCTCTCCAGAACCCCCGAATAGACCTTACCAGGGAGGCTTAAGAGCGTGATTCCCCTGTAGTTGGAACACACTCTACGGTCCCCCTTTTTGAATAGGGGGACCACCACCCCGGTCTGCCAATCCAGGGGAACTTCCCCCGATGTCCACGCAATATTGCAGAGTTGCGTAAGCCAACACAACCCTACAACATCCAGAGCCTTAAGGAACTCCGGGCGAATCTCATCCACCCCTGGGGCCCTACCACCGAGGAGCTTTTTAACCACCTCGGTGACCTCAGCACCAGAGATTGGAGGGCCCGACCCAGAGTCCCCAGGCTCCGCTTCCTCAGTGGAAGACGTGCCGGTGGGATTGAGGAGGTCTTCAAAGTATTCCGCGCACCGACCCACAACATCCCGAGTTGAGGTCAGCAGCACACCACTCCCACTATAAACAGTGTTGGTGGCGTACCGCTTTCCCCCCCTGAAACGCCGGATGGTGGACCAGAATCGTCTCGAAGCCGTGCGGAAGTCGTTCTCCATGGCCTCTCCGAACTCCTCCCATGCCCAAGTTTTTGCCTCAGCAACCACCCGAGCCGCATGTCGCTTGGACTGCCGGTACCCATCAGCTGCTTCCGGGGTCCCACAGGCCAAAAAGGCCCGATAGGACTCCTTCTTCAGCCTGACAGCATCCCTCACCGACGGTGTCCACCATCGGCTTCGAGGGTTGCCGCCGCGACAGGCACCGACAACCTTGCGGCCGCAGCTCTGGTAAGCCGCCTCGACAATAGAGGCACGAAACATGGTCCACTCAGACTCAATGTCCATTTTTTTCTTTTTGTTTATAATTTTTCTTTTTAAATTTCTGTTTCCTAAGATAAAAAAATAATAATAAAAAAAGTTTGTTGCTTTGCGTTAATATTGCAGAAACTTTATGACTGCATCACGCTGTCACTAAACTGTGTACTTTATATGATGCTCTGCTTATTCTCTGGTGGCGTTTTCCAGATAAGAATCAAATTACTGCACAGACTTTGTCAGAGTACGGAAGTGCCGCACGGTAAACTCCTCAAATAAAACCCTTTGAACGTCTTTGCTTCAGACCTGTGACGTTGTTTATATTGAATCTCACAGGGGATAAAACCTTTTGAAGATTCTCACTCTCTGTTGGGCTAGTTTACTGTGCTTTTGAGTTATCAGCACTCATCAGTCATGCTTAGATATAAATACTTCAAGGTTCCACAGAAGATACCAGCATATATCCAATCACCATCAGCAGGGAGGCCATGAGGATGGAGCTCAGCTGTCTATGTCCAGGCAAGTCTGCAGGTCCAGATGGATTAAGCCCCAAACTCTTGAAATGATGTGCGGCTCAGCTGTGTGATGTTTTTCAGCACTTTTTCACTTGAGCCTGAGCATGAGGGTGGTCCCTGCTTTGTGGAAAACAACATGCCTGGTACCGGTGCTGAAAAACAACCAACCAAACTCGCACAGTGACTACAGACCTGTGGCCTTGACAACACATGCCATGAAGTCGCTGGAGAGGCTGGTCCTGAAGCACGTTAGATCAGTGGTGGAATCATACCTGCACCCCCTACAGTTTGCATACCAGCCATGCATTGGAGTTGATGACACCATCATCTACCTGCTGCACAGAGCCTACATGTACCTGGACTGGGCAGGAAACATTGCAAGAGTCATGTTCTTTGACTTTTCCAGTGCTTTTAACACTATAAGACCTGCTCTACTCTGCAGTAAGCTCCTGGACATGCAGGTGAATGACTCACCTGGATCAGAGACTACCTCACAGGTCGGCGACAGTATGTGAGGCTGCAGAACATCACATCGGACACCATACTGAGCAGCACAGGGTCTCCTCAGGGGACAGTCCTCTTGCCGTTTCTATTCACCCTCTACACCTCAGACCTCAGGTACAACTCACAATCCTGCCATCTGCAGAAGTTCTCGGATGACTCTGCCATTGTGGGCTGCATCACTGGTGAGCAGGAAGCTGAATACAGAGGTGTGGTAGACAGTTTGTGGAGTGGTATGGACAGAACCACCTGCAACTCAACGCTGGAAAAACGAAAGAGCTAAAGGTGGACTACAGGAAGATCAGCAGACTCGATAAACTCATCAAGAGAGCTGGTTCAGTTCTGGGAGTGGACCTGCAGTCTCTGACAGAGGTGTCTGAGCAGAGGATGCTGAGGAAACTGCTCCAGATCCTGAACAACACGTCACAACCCCTGCATGACACACAGGACTCTTACCACAGCACCTTCAGTCGTAGACTGAGACACCGAGGTGCTCCACAGAACGCCACAGGAAGTCCTTCCTCCATGTGGCTATCAAACTTTTCAACCCCCCCCCCCCCCCTTTCTGCACATTGGACAATAAAATTAATCCTGCACCACAATAAACTCCATAAGACCTGCTCTACCTGACCTGTTTTAGAACATAATTGTTGGTATTTTTATATACTGTGTTCCTTTGTATTGAAACTCTGGCAGAACAATTTCCTTTGGGATCAATGAAGTTCTATTTACTGTATTTTATCTTATCTGGGTTGGGCGAAAAAACAATACTTTAATTTCAAATGTATGTGGTAAAATGTGCACAACTAGAAAGATTTAAGGAGATTAAGACCAAGCTTTATGATACTGACACTGAGCTCTGTGTTCCAGCTGAGTCTTTGTGTGTTTAACTCAATTTATAAAACATTAAACTTGTCTTTTAAGTGTAGAACACAAATCAACAGAAGAAAGATGAAATGTTAGAACTCGCTGAGGTACGTTGCTCAGAAATGAACACACTGTCGTTTATTTTGCAGATCATAGCAAAAGAGTCAAAACTTATGTAGCTGTTTGTTGACGCAGCTCCACAAACAGGAGAACACTGAAGAAACAATAAAAACTATGTGTGTTCTTAAAACCCTGACAAGGGCTTCACAGACATACTGTCATGAGACAGTCAGGGATGTTATGTCCCTCTATGGTACTTGAAATTCTTAAACTCTCTGCTGCACAGTCATGAGAGTGGAAAAACATTTTATTAAATTTTCTTGACAATAGACAAACTATTTTCCCAAATCACTAAACCAATTCTTTATCCAAGATAAATGCTGCAAAACTTATCTGTTGCAAATTAAATTACCTACGGAGCAAAAATCTAATTGTAGGAGCTGAAATTAGAAAGAGAAAACAATAAAATAAAAGAGGAAAAACTCCCAGTTATGGTTCAGGTCAGTTCAGATTCCTACCTGCCTGAAAAACTCTTCCATTAGGGATTTGGTCCAGCGAGAGTGCAGCGCCCAGGGTTTGGATGGATGGCTGATGTCAGCCGTGTGCAGTAACAGAGACAGGGCTTTAGGCTTATCAATCCTGATGGAGGAAGCACAACACACATCTTATTTTATTTGTGCTCTTGGGCCTCCAGTGAAAAGCATTCACTGCAAGAATCAGGCTGTTTATTTTTGTGCAGAATATTTCAGTCAGCTTCCAACATTCATTATTGCCTTATGAATTTTGCACCGCAGTGTGAAGAGCAGCGTGTTCATTTACCGTTCCTGCTGTTTTAGACAGGATTTTATGGCTTTGACCTGGAGTAGGTGGGAGGACATGTCGGTGGCCAACACCATCTCTATAACAAGTGATCGCAGCTCCCTGTGAACGAACACACACAAGGACTTGCAGTTTACCAGCTGACCTGGAATGATGGCAGGGAAAATTATAAAGTAAATCTGACGGGCAGGAGGAGCCAATGAGGTTGTAACCTTTTCTCGTTTTCCTGATGGGTTTTCCTGTTCCCATGGTAACCCTGACTGCTAAAAGAAGTCCATTAAGGTATACGGCTGTGTTTATCTGTGATGATAGCTGCAGAGTACCGCAGTGCATATCATGCTGTGATTGGTGATATATGCAAGAGATGCCTCCATTAATGAGCTAACTATTTATGGTAAATATATAAATTATACAAATAGTAATATATAATACGAATAAATAAGCTCCAACTGTTTCACAAGAACACATCAAAATCATTACCAACCCTGTCAATCGTTCATAACATTTTCTAATAAAAGCCTCAACATTCTTTGGAAAAATACATATCACCCACCATCTTTCATGCCAGATATGAGTTAGCACTCAAAGATTATCATGGGGATCACAATAAACTACTACTACTACTACTACTACAAAATATTTATCTCAATAACTGAAAAAAATGAAGCCATTTTTGAGTTGGTCAAAGCCAGTTAGCTGTCACCATGAACTGAGCTGAATCCAGATGTTAACCATGCATGCAAAACATCTGACAAACTCACTTATTCCACCCAAATGAGATTTATTTATTATTTACCTGCTGGTTGATGAAGAGATGTAACATAACCCTTTAATTGATTCATAGTTTAAAAATAGATTAATACAATTAATAGTTTTTCTCAAGAGGTAATGTATTCATAATGTATATTAAAACTATAAACATGAGCTAGATAATAAAACGTAAAATTTATAGAATACGACTGCCTATTTTTGATTTTTATTTGGTAAAATTGCTAACTGATACCTCTAAATTGTCCCTAAGTGTGAGTGAGAGTGTGGATAGTTGTCTTGTTTGTCTCTATGAGCACCAGTGACCCTCACAACCTGACAAGGAAGAAGCGGGTAAAGATATACATGTATATATTTATAAGAATGACATCATCAAGTATAAAAGTGGTATCGGTTTGAAATATCGGAGTATTTTTAAGAGTACAAATCCTTGAGACTGATAGATAACACGATACCGATAACAGTATCAATGACCAGAGAGAGTTTGTTATTGTTGCTGCATATTTCTGATTTGTGTCAGTTTCAGATTTTAAGTTTAGTTTTCTAGATGATGCATTTGCTCTGTTTGACACATTTTACTTCTCGTTTTATTTTATAGTACTAGTTCTTCTTCACTTATGTTTTGTTTTCTGTTTTGTTTTGTAATTCGCCTTCCTTGGATGACATTAATCTGGCCTCCAGCTATAATGTTAAAAATCTTGGTGTTATTTTTGATCAGGACATGTCTTTTAACCCCCACATTTAAAACTTTTCTTCCACCTGCGTAATATCACTAAAGTTAGAAGCATCTTATATAAAAACGATGCAGAAAAACTGGTTCATGCACTGGCCATGTCTAGAATGGACTATTGCAATGGTTTATTATCTGGGTGTACAAAAACTTTAAAAAGTCTTCAGTTGAACTAAAATGCTGCTGCCAGAGTCTTAACTACAGTCAGTAGGAGAGATCATATCTCTCCAGTTTTAGCTTTTCAAAATCGTACTTCTAACCTACAAAGTTCTCAAAAACCTAGCTCCATGTTATATTGCAGATCTTATTGTTCCATATTTTCCTAACAGAGCACTTCGCTCTCAGACTGCAGGTTTACTTGAGGTTCCTAGAGTTTCCAAAAGCACAAGGGGAGGAAGATCTTTCAGTTATCAGGCTCCTCTCTTATGAAACTAACTTCCAGTTTCTGTCCATGAGGCTGACACATTGTCCAGTTTTAAGACCGGGCTTAAGACTTTCCTTTTTGATAAATCCTACAGAGTTGGCTTGTCATGCTGTCTTAAGCTTAGACTACTAGAGGACAAATTGACCCCATTTCCTTAAATTAATTGTTAAAATTGAATTGTTTTCATTTGATACTATTTCTACAGTATATTAACATGTGATTCTTGACCTGCCATTGTGCATCTGTTCCTACCAAACTCAGCTGGTCGAAGCAGATGGATGCTTGTCCTGACCCTGGTTCTGCTAAAAGTTTCTTCCTCATGAGGGAGTTTTTCCTTCCCACTGTCGCCTTCATGCTTGCTCAAGATGAGAGTTCTGTGATGGAGTTAAATTCAAAGCAGTCTGCTCCTCACATAAAAAATGTTAAATTATTATTTTTTATGAATGTTTTTGTTAACTTATTATTTATATATATACATGTTTCTGTTCAGTGCCCTGAGACGACTTCTGTTGTGACTTGGTGCTACATTAATAAACTGAACTGAACTTTTTTTCTTCCCCTTCTTTGCCCCTGACACCTGTTCCTTGTGTTTGGTAATTTCACAGTGAAAAATATGTCAGGATTTTATTTGTTCACTGCCAGATCTTTGTGCTGTAACTGGTTGATGTGTTCCTTGGTTTTCTCCATGTCCTGTTTTGATTTTCAGTTTTTTTTTGTCTTGACTTTGCACCACTTTGTGTTTGAGTTTGTCTAAAATGTTTCACCTTCTTGATGTATTGATGCCTTCTTCAAGAGTATTGTCTACATTAGTTTTTTTTTCAAGACTTTGCCTATCTTTGCGATAACTAATTATTTTATTTTTTGTGTGTTTCACAACAAAGTTTTGTTCACGATAAATCCTGTTTTTATTTTTGGAGCAAATTTCTGTAAAGTAATAAGAGAGCAACTGGGAACTTGTCATTCAGCTGTGAAGGATTATTCCAGTGAAAGTGCTCCAGTTTTGAAATGCGTCACACTGAGCTGACATCTCATGTCACTCTAGTCTAATGATGGAGAAAGGTTCATCTTCTTTCTGTCTTTTCCATAACAGAGTATTCTTTTCCCAACTTGTAAAATAGAGTCAGGTAAGAAATTTGTTTTTGGTCAGACCATTTTTTCTGTTTATATTTCAGACAGATTTTGAATTGATTGTTATTTCTCTAATGGAAAAAATAAAAACTCTATATTTCATTTAATTAGAATAAAAAAAACATTAAAACAGGAAGAAAAGAAAGAGTTAGTAGATATTTCTTGCTGTAAATTTTGATCATTACAGATTTTTTATCATTTTTTCTGATGATAAAAATCTCAGATTATAATCTAAATTAATGTGAATTAGGCAAAAATATTCAGATGAACAAAAAAGTAGTCTCACATCCATTCTTCTCGTGTCAAATTTGTGAAGAGGTTGACCTGGTCGTTCTGCAGCAGGCGAAATGCTGCACTTACATGATGACTTTCTTGAACAGACCGGTCATTATAGATCATTGCAAACTCAGACCTGAAAGACAGACACAGAAAAATAGATAATAATTGTGCAAGACTGTTAAACAGACATGCCATTAAAGTGCAGTTTAATAGGCAAATGATTGTTAAAGGTGGTGGTTTTCAAAATGAAACAAAACTCAAGATCTCAGGGAATAATTTAAAGCCATAATAGCAGTCAAAGTGTACTTTTTTTTTGTATATGTATCGTCTATGATAAAAGTAATTGTCGATTACAAATCTTCACTACTAAAAGTCTACTGCATGATTTGCAATAAATATGCAAAATCAGCAGATTCATGTTTTGTTGTCAACAATCACGAGTTGTTTGTTTACATTCAAATATTGATAAGTACACTTGGAACAGTCTCAGTGCATGACAGCTGTTGAATTGGTAAAATAATGTCAGGATGTAAACAAAGTCTGGGGATAACTTTGGCAAATGTATAAATCATTAAGTATATAACTCTAGTTTTATTCCTTTTTAATTTTAAAATTAAACTACAATTAATAGCTGTAAGAGCAAGAACCAACAGAATTAAAGCAATTTTTCGGTGAAAAAAATTGAGCTTTAAAGCAAAACACATGCAAATGAGCTGTCGAAATATTAAAAACTACTGATTCCCAAATGTAGTTGTAAACAATGGCAAGGAACTTGTTTATCTTATAACACAATTTGAAAAAACCCTGAATAATTTGATAAATTAACCCCAAAACAATCTTTAATGACATAGAAAATATGTTAGAAGCATTTCAATTCAAATTTTAAACAATGTCAATATAATGTTTTGATAGCTATTGAGGCTTTAATCATTAAACCAACATTAGTAGCAATAACTTTTAGTTTTCAGAAGCTTAACTCATGACAATGAGGTAATTAAAACATTTCAGCCATTTGATGTATTTTATTAGGATGTGAATATTTGTAATAAAAAGAGGAATATTAAAGTGTTTTATAGCCTCTTGCCAAACTTTGCAGTTAAATCTATCATTTTTTTAAACACTTCAAACGATGAAAAGGACAAAGTTAACTTGAAAACACTTGAACCACTTAAATTAAATAATAATGATTAGTAAAATTATTTATTTATTATTATTATTGTTATTAAAAATACTCTACTTGTCGGTGCTTATTTTTAAAAAGAAAAGCACAACAGCATCTCTAGATCCATTCATATAAAATATATTATATTTAGCAGCTGTACGGTAGTTTGGTTGGATTAAGATTACATAATTGATGCGTCATTGGTGTCATGTTCTTTCATTACGGGCTGATATTTTTGTGTTTTATTCCTGAAATAAAGAAAAATTATGATGATAATGATGATGATGGGTGTCAGGAGGCCATGTTGGACAATCTAAAAAATATCTGTTTTCCTTTTATAAAGATGTGTTTGCTTCAGTGTTCTCACCCTCTTCCCAAATTTGCAAAAAAGCCTAAAAAATAAAATCCACTCATACTCTCTTACTAGATTGTTTTAAAACAGACATTTTAAAACCTGCTTATATGAGAATATATATATATATAT